ATGTTCTTTACCCTTCTTTTTAATTCATTTATTGAATCCTGAACAACTATTCTAAGAATGAGTCTGTGTATGCACAGCATGCAGAATAGTGAGCTGTAATACATATTATCATTCTGGAACAATGACATCTTACTCTATCATTAACCACCCCTGCTTCCTATCCAGGATTTTCCAAGTTATGAGTAAAACTCATCTCCTCTAACTTTATAACTTTCCCTCTTGTCATGACTTAAACACATGAAGTTGTCCCAACATGCAAGAAGTGGTGTATGTGGGTACAATTACAATGTGTAAAAGACATTTGGATAAGTACATGAATAGGAAAGGTTTGGAGGGATATGGGTCAGGAGCAGGCAGGTCGGACTAGTTTGGTTTGGGATTGTCAGTATAGACTAGTTGGACTGAAGGGTCTGTTTCTGTGCTGTATGACTCTATGCTTTATAAGGGTTCATAATTCTAATTGTAATTAGTCTAATGAACATGTAATGGAAGAACCAGAAGCAAGATCAAAGAAATAAGCTTAAAAGAACTTTGGAGATGGGGACAGATAGAATGAAATGAACCATACTATGAGAAAAATTGCCAGAAGATGATAGCTGAAAGCTTAATCATTGATGAGGGTTGGTGTTCGAGTACATGATAGCTCAGAATGAGAAGACTTGATTAAAAACAGAAATTGTTGGCAATACTCAGTAACAATTTGGGAAGTTAAGAAGTGAGTTGCTGCTGTAGATTTCCCAGCCTCTGCCTTACTCTCGTATAGTTCAGTTTCTGGTCAGTGGTAAATCCAATTTGGAGAGAGCTGGTCCTAAAGGATACATCTCCACTTGGGTTGAGTGTGAAAAAGAAATCAGATTCAAATTATAGGAAATCTGATCACATGTTGTTCAGTGAGAATATGTTCTGAAGGAACAAGTCTAAATTGCTTAAAACCAGAAAAATGTACCATTTATAAAGAAGAAATATTCAATAAGGAACACTCACAAAAGGGAAGTAAAGATAAATCAAGTCAAAATAAAATAAAATTATAAAGAAAAACCAAAGGGAAATAAAGTTGACATAAGTGAAGTAAATTTAAGTTACTGTTTTTGTAGTAAGTTTATAATTACTCTAAGGGTGGTGAATAGTTTTCAAAGTTAGAAGATGGCAGATCAGTTGAACCAAGTGGACTATATATCCAGTAGTAATGTGTGATGACATGTACATGTCATGTATCCAAGACAAACACATCTTTAGAGGATAAAGCAAGATGCTGAAGATCTGAAACAAAACAGAAATTGTTGGAGATATTCAATAGGTTGGGTAGCATCTGTGGAGAGAAAACAGAGTTAATGTTTCGAGTCCAGTGACCCTTCTTCAGAACTGATAGCAGTTAGGAAAAAATGGTATTTATGTTGATGTAATGGGATGGAAGGGAAAAGCAGACAGAGACAAAGATCGTTAGGCAGACAAAAGACTGGCTAATAGTAAATTAGGGAAGGCAAAAAATCTGATAATGGGTTGATGTGGAGTGAAAATGGATAGGTTCTGCTGAAAGCAGCCCATATAATGACAGGGCCTGGGGCATTGGGGTGGTTGAAGGATATGAAGGGAGGTGTATCAGGCATTAAAATTATTGAACATGATATTGAGTCCTGAAGGCTGCAGGGTGCCAAAGTGAAAGATGAAATGCTGTTCTTCCAGTTTACAATGAACCTCCATGGAGCACTTGGGCCGGTCTGAGACAGAAATTTTGGCCAGGGAACAAGGTGGTGTTGAAGTGGCAGGCAACCGGAAATTCAGGGATATTTTTATGGACATAACATAGGTGTTCTGCAAAACTATTACCAGTCTGTGTTTTGTCTCCTTAATGTAGAAGAGGCCGCATTGTGAACAGTAGATTAGATTGAGTGAAGTACAGGTAAATCGCTCCTTCACCTGAAAGGTGTGTTTTCAGCCCTCACTAGTGAGGAGGGAAACGGGAAAATGTTGCGCGTTCTGTGTTTGCATGGCAAGGTACTGTGGGAGTGAAGGAGATTGAATGGTCCCTGCAAAATGCTGAGTCAACTTACTGAGCACTAAAGCTGTGAATGATGGGTATATTAGGGCTGGTTTTCTAGAACAGCATGTTGAGAAGCCAACTAGAGGTCAGGCTATTTTAAATCAAGTACAATGCAATAAGAAAGAGCAAACAAATAATCTTTTTGTAACAGAGCCTTTAGACATGAATGACCACATTAAGATAGAATTTTACATTATGGGTGAAAGTGAGATATTTCAGTCTGAAGCAAGGATACTAAAGTCGAATAAGGGAAATTATGAAGTAATGAGGCAGAAATTGGCTGAGCTGGATTGGGAAAATATATGAGAGGGGTATGACTGTACAAAGGCAATGGACAGTCTTTAAAGAGCTATCACATGACTCATTATAATAATATGTTCCTTCAAGATACAAAACACGAAGAATGTAGGTCAAACATGGCTGAGAAAGGGAGTTAAGAATTGTATATGGTTAAAAGAAAACGCTTATAACATGTTTGGAAATAGCCATAAATCTGAAGTTTAAAAGGTTTTCAGAATACAGCAAATGAGGATCAATAAACCAATAAGAATATGAAGAACAGAATATAAATGCAATCTAGCAAAAAATATAAAACTTGACTGCTTATATTGATTCATAAAAAGAAATGTTTGGCTGAGATGAATGTGGATCCATTGCAGGCAGAGTCAGGAGAACTTAAATGGGATAGAGAGAAATGGCTGAAAAAGTAAATTACCATAATGTATTTGTTTTCACTGAGGAAGATACAAGAATTTGTGTTTCAAGTGATGGAGGAAAATGAGAAGTTGAAGGATATTAGTATTAGTATGCAAGTTGCACTGGAGAAATTAATGGGGATGAAAGAACTGATAGTCTACATCTCAGAGTTTTGAAGGAAGTGGCTATAGATAGTCAATGCATTTATCATAATCTTCTAAAATTCCATAGATTCTGCAATTATTCCTGCGGATTGAAAACTCACAAATTTCATCCCATTATTTTAGAAAGGAGCAAGGGAATACAAACGGGGAGCTACCTTACTTGAGTAGCAGGGAAAAAGCTAGAATCTATCAAAAAGGGTGTTACAAAGCAGTAAAGCTAAGTGGGAATGTGTGTTATATGAAAGATGTAAGGCATATTTGGCAGGAATTGGACAGACTTAGTGAATGGGTAAGAACATGGCAATGGAATATGTGGAAAAATGGTGGGAAAAATTGATGTGCGTATTATTTCTTAAATGATAAGCAGTTGGAAAGAGTAGAGGCACAAATGGATCTAGATGTCCTTGTTGATAAATCACTGAAGGCTAACATGCAAGTGCAGCAAGCTATTAGGAAGGCTTATGGAATGGTAGCCTTTATTGCAGGAGGATTTGAATACAAGGAAAGGGAAGTTTTA